AAAAGGTCAAAGCATAAAGGAAATCGGCAATGAAAGAAAAGAAAAGTGATTAAAAACCCAAGGCCAATTATGAAAGATGGTATCGTTTGTTTTTTTAATGCAGTTGTGCGCTCTTGATGTAATATGTCAGAGGGTTTCATTGGTTGCCTAAAGAAATGATTGTTGTGCAATCTTGTGATGCAACCTCTATTTTTTTTCGCAGCCGTAGGTTATCTCTTAGCTTGAATTGAGGTCATGTTATTCTGTAACCTTCTCCCTGCCGACTGCGTAGCAACTGCCTATCAATAGCAAGTCTGGCGGAATAGGTCAGAGCAATGGCTGCCAAAACAGCTGCGTAGAACTGCAGCGTTTAAAGATGGCAGCATTGCATCCTAGCTTTTGCTACGTAACATTGATCAGAGGGTTGGGCGTCTGGACTGGTACAGGCCACCGACTCATATTAATTTCCGGATTGCTCAGAGAGAAATCCACTGTACANAGAACGACAGAAAGAAAGGTCAAACGACAGAAAGGTCAAAGCATAAAGGAAATCGGCAATGAAAGAAAAGAAAAGTGATTAAAAACCCAAGGCCAATTATGAAAGATGGTATCGTTTGTTTTTTTAATGCAGTTGTGCGCTCTTGATGTAATATGTCAGAGGGTTTCATTGGTTGCCTAAAGAAATGATTGTTGTGCAATCTTGTGATGCAACCTCTATTTTTTTCGCAGCCGTAGGTTATCTCTTAGCTTGAATTGAGGTCATGTTATTCTGTAACCTTCTCCCTGCCGACTGCGTAGCAACTGCCTATCAATAGCAAGTCTGGCGGAATAGGTCAGAGCAATGGCTGCCAAAACAGCTGCGTAGAACTGCAGCGTTTAAAGATGGCAGCATTGCATCCTAGCTTTTGCTACGTAACATTGATCAGAGGGTTGGGCGTCTGGACTGGTACAGGCCACCAACTCATATTAATTTCCGGATTGCTCAGAGAGAAATCCACTGTACACTGTATGTATATTTTTTTTCGTGACGTGGTTCGATATTAATTTCTAATTAAATATCTTTTGGATTCTAGACCGAGCTGTATTTTTGTGCTCTCAAAAGCCAAAAAAATAATTATAAATTGATATTTTAAAAGGCTTTTGGCATTTTTACCTGACAACAGTTCTTTTGTCTTGTAAACTTCCTGCGCACTTCCTACACAGTATACAAAGAACACGGAGTCACGAATCATTAGCGAAGATCATAATAGCTCGCCATCATCATCATTATTTACTAGTAAGGCTAGTACTGCCTCTGTACATTAGAGTTTCAAATTAAAGACTTGATTTTTCATAGAAGTAATATAATCAGCTCATTATGTCAAGAAGTGTGGTAAAGACTTGGTATCAGTTACAACATACGATGCCCAAAACCCACTGGGAACTTTGTGCTATGCTGCATGATGGATGACTGGCTCTCTAAACCATCAGCGTGAGTCGTAGGACTCTCTAGGATCAGGTGGTCCTCGATGATTGTTACAAGATTTATTGAAAATCTCATGTCTTTGTGATCGGGAAGCTTGGCACTGCTATCAATGGAAACAATACGTGACTCGGCGGAGAAATTTGTTCTTTTGAACTGCACACATTGACATGTGATGAATTGGTGTTGAGCTGATTGGGAAATGGCTGCCGGCCTGGAGATCAAAACATCCCTCACAGATAATACTCCGCGCTCTACCCACCACCTTTGAAGGTCCCTTCTAATATGCAGCTCTAAAATGAATTGGAAAATAATGACCCTGGAAATTAAGGGAGAGAAAAGAAAATTAAAATATTTGGTTATTAGTGAGAAAAAAAAGTGGCCGACCTGCAGTCTTTGTTATTATGGGGAGCTGGGGTGACAGTATGTTCTTTGATGAGGCTTGTTAAGGATGAGAGATTAGAGAGCAGACATATGTGCTGAATCATTTTGTATTTCAATAGAAATGTCAAATGAGCTATTGCTTTTTTTACATTAAATTGGCATTTATTATAACCCTTACAGAATGGTGTTGTTTTTTTTTTTTTTTCTGAAAAATATTGGTGGGTGTTTTTGAAGAGAAATAGATAGAAATAAAAACTAATTCTGGTCCATTCAAAACTGTAATTTTTTTTAACACTTGAAGAGTTATGAGTTGGATAATAGGAAAAAAAGATAATATTCATAGGTTACCAAGTTAAGGTAAAGAGATATGTCTGCCATATTTTATTTTTCTTACTTAGAAACATATTTGGTATTTTCCATTGAAAACTTTCACACTGCAACAGAATATGTGTATCAAAACAACTTTGCAAAGAACAATGAATATGCGTGTTTGTGGCTGAGATAATCTGTTTTTTTTTTTTAATGATCAGATGATGCCTTGGCATATTTTACAATTTTCCTTAATCAACTCCAGCATGGACATTGAACATTATTCGGATAATAAATATTGGACATAAAGAAATTTACAACTTGAAGGGCTAAGTTTCAAATATATTGTGTAAAGAAATTAACTATACGCTTATTGAAAATAAGTGAATAATTGATGAGTAAAATACGGAAGTTGTGAAGAAATTGTTGGCTAAATTTTAGTTCAGGTAGGTGGATAGTTGTATTGGGTTATTTCAGGTAATTTGCAATAAGATCTTTTGTATAGACCACAACCATCGCACATTATGGTATTCTTAAGAATTGCATGCTGGGGGATTCCTCTTGATATATTGCCAAATAATTGTCAGATTTTGTTCCCAAATTAAGTAACTGTTGATTGGCCCAGTAGGAGTTTTGAATATAGTGAGTCCTCTGACAAAGGTGGTAAAATGATAACGTGAGGGACGGCAATTTGTAGAGGCCCAAGATGACAAAAGCTAGGCTTGTAGCTACCGGTGTCTCTTACATTTGGTGTACAGTACATTATTGTATTGTCATAATGGGGAAATTTGAAGCATACATCACTGTGTCTAGGCATCAAACTGGGGGGTCCTATCATCATTAAGTCTTAGTATTCCCTGGTGGTTTCATTCTGTTGTTTTTGCGAGGCCCATTTTAGTTTTTCTGAAACAGTTTTAACTTGGAACTGGTGTGAACCAACCTCTGTGCTTGATCTGTATGCATTACAAGGTTAAAGTGTTGTTCTAGCATTGTGATGCTCATTGTGATAATTATTTGTTTGATGAAAAAAACTCATCAGAATCATATGATAGATTGCTTTAATTTTATAGTGTTTGTTTTTGATATCTAATGTTGTAAAGTGGGCTCAGGAACATAAAGCAGGTGCTCATTTGTGTCGTTCATTCAGGCTCTATATATATATACAAGGGGATTGGAAATTTAATGTTTTTAATGCCCATACAGTTTGCATTCATCACTAAAATTGTAATGAACTGTAGGTGAACATAGCTGCTACAATTCAATATACCATTCACTTCATATTGTGAAGTAGTGCATATTTATATTTTTTTGGGGTAAATGGATCTTTTAGCTTGGCTTGATTTGCCATTGGTTTTTTATTGTTTATTTGTTGTTGTTTGTTACAGTTTGACATAGAGAGAGCATTCTTACTTACCAGTAATAACTCTGTCTTTTCAATGAGCAAAAATGATCTAACTTTCAGATACATAATTTTATAATCATAAAAAATATATTTCTGTATAGCATTTGTGGTGCTTTTACTACCTACAATATAACTATAGAGTAACCTGCTTTTTAATTTTGTTGCTATTCCTCTATAGGAATAATCTAATTTTAAGCAACTTTGACTTAAAATATGCAGTATTTGTAAAATTCACAATTTTTCCCTATTGAAAAGATTGAGTAAATACCGTACTCAGCAACATGTATTCTCTCTCACTCCTCAGTCACAATTCCTCATAAAAATATCTACAATGAATCCAGTGATCAACATATAGTTTACAAATGTCACCTTCTGTTACAAAGAGAAAAATGTGTGGGAATAAGATGCTGTAAAGCACATAGTGCAAATACTACTTGATTATTATTTCCATGTCCAAAAACATTGCATGTCAGGTGGAGCATGCACAGCATGTGTCCAGTGTGTCATTTCGTGATGGCAGGTCAGCTCGACCATGCTTCTTTGCATGCACACGTACATGCAAAGTCCTGTGACTGGTTTTGTACAAAGTTATTAATAGGTGTGACACCTGGAATAAAACTTGTCTTTACATGTGAATGTTCATGTTACATGTAGTCCATGTTATTCTTACAACCAGCAGAGAACTGTCTGTCGTCGTTGGTTCCTGGAGCAGCTGTGTAGGACATATGTCTTTACATGTGGGCTTCGGACAGATGTGGAATTTTGATACCTTTTACTTAACAAATAAACTTATTCTTAACAGGATCCCAAAATAAAAATAAAAATGATGAAAAAGAAAGAAAGAAAGATAGAAAGAAAGAAAAAGAAAATTGGGTGGCATCAAATATTTTATAATATATAGTAAAATACAGACCTTACTGCACATTATTGTATTAAAGTTGATATATTTTAGTGTTAACGTTATGAATAAAACCATTAAAAATCATTATACTTGAATTAACTTTCAAAGAAACCTTGCACCTTGACATTTGCTTGTAAATATGTTAACTATTAAGAATAAGATGGTGAACAATTGAATAGAATTATGCTACAAGTCATTTATGTATTGTGTCTCTAATACATATTGAAATGGCACAACTGTCAGCCTAAACAAAACTACTGTTTGAAAAAAAAAATGATATCCAGCAGCCCAGAATTATTTTAAAAATGTGAGAACTTCAGCGAAATCATCACTGCTGGACAATGAATTAAAGATGGCAGTATCAAGTTACACACCTCGTTTTAGCTCAAACATGATTTATCACTGAAAATCATAATACAGTGCCCATTAGGTCAAAATTATCAAAGATCTGTTCTTTGTTGAAACTTTGAGATTTGATATAAGTTATTGATTTTTATGTGATATAAGGCATAATGTTTATGTTTTAAATTTAAAAGGATGACATATTTTTCTTTATTTTCTAGTTATCCAAAAGTGGATCATTCATGTTGTACCTGAACAAGCCAAAGTTAAAAGCGCAAGAGAGCAGTTCCAGCCAGCCCCTGAGGTGAGAGAAGACACCCCTGGACTAACATCTGTCCATTAACATGAACATTTTTACTGATTAACATGGATAATCACGGCTGTGTTGTTGACGCTTTTTGTACTTTTATAATATCTTGATCAGTAAAAACACACCAGTTGATATGTTCATGCATATTGTGGGTATTTCTAATTGCAGTTTGGGAAATATTAATATATATTTATAAAGAGAATTTTTGAATGTGTCTAAACGGTTGTTTTGTGTTGTTGATTTGATGAGTACTATTTGTTCGTGCATATTGTGGGTCTTTCTAAGCAGTTTGGGAAATATTAATATATATATTTATAAAGGGAATTTTGAGTGTGTTTCTAAACGGTTGTTTTGTGTTGTTGTTTTGATTATTTTTACTATTGAGGGTCCTGGCATTGATTATGTCCCATGATTGCTTTTGTGACACTCATTGGTATAGGGGACAATCTAGTGCTTTTTTTCTCACATGTAATGAAATTATGAATACCGTTTTCAATTTGATATTATAAACGCAAACACTGCATAAAAAAAAATTATATTACTTTTATTGAAGTTGTACCAGGTACATTATGCCCGATGATTGATGCCGATGACGTTTGTAACAGAATATATATTGGAAAAAAACAATATGTTGTTTATGAATTATACTGCACGTCTTCATTTTAAACGCAAAGCGCCTGTCTGTTGTGCAATTTTACCTGATATGTTATTAGACTACTACAAAGCGAAGCATAGTTTGTGATCAGAATACACTGGTCGTTACATTCATTTGATTGTATGATTCCCTGCTTGGGTGCTGTAACNCGCAGCCGTAGGTTATCTCTTAGCTTGAATTGAGGTCATGTTATTCTGTAACCTTCTCCCTGCCGACTGCGTAGCAACTGCCTATCAATAGCAAGTCTGGCGGAATAGGTCAGAGCAATGGCTGCCAAAACAGCTGCGTAGAACTGCAGCGTTTAAAGATGGCAGCATTGCATCCTAGCTTTTGCTACGTAACATTGATCAGAGGGTTGGGCGTCTGGACTGGTACAGGCCACCGACTCATATTAATTTCCGGATTGCTCAGAGAGAAATCCACTGTACAGTGTATGTATATTTTTTTTCGTGACGTGGTTCGATATTAATTTCTAATTAAATATCTTTTGGATTCTAGACCGAGCTGTATTTTTGTGCTCTCAAAAGCCAAAAAAATAATTATAAATTGATATTTTAAAAGGCTTTTGGCATTTTTACCTGACAACAGTTCTTTTGTCTTGTAAACTTCCTGCGCACTTCCTACACAGTATACAAAGAACACGGAGTCACGAATCATTAGCGAAGATCATAATAGCTCGCCATCATCATCATTATTTACTAGTAAGGCTAGTACTGCCTCTGTACATTAGAGTTTCAAATTAAAGACTTGATTTTTCATAGAAGTAATATAATCAGCTCATTATGTCAAGAAGTGTGGTAAAGACTTGGTATCAGTTACAACATACGATGCCCAAAACCCACTGGGAACTTTGTGCTATGCTGCATGATGGATGACTGGCTCTCTAAACCATCAGCGTGAGTCGTAGGACTCTCTAGGATCAGGTGGTCCTCGATGATTGTTACAAGATTTATTGAAAATCTCATGTCTTTGTGATCGGGAAGCTTGGCACTGCTATCAATGGAAACAATACGTGACTCGGCAGAGAAATTTGTTCTTTTGAACTGCACACATTGACATGTGATGAATTGGTGTTGAGCTGATTGGGAAATGGCTGCCGGCCTGGAGATCAAAACATCCCTCACAGATAATACTCCGCGCTCTACCCACCACCTTTGAAGGTCCCTTCTAATATGCAGCTCTAAAATGAATTGGAAAATAATGACCCTGGAAATTAAGGGAGAGAAAAGAAAATTAAAATATTTGGTTATTAGTGAGAAAAAAAAGTGGCCGACCTGCAGTCTTTGTTATTATGGGGAGCTGGGGTGACAGTATGTTCTTTGATGAGGCTTGTTAAGGATGAGAGATTAGAGAGCAGACATATGTGCTGAATCATTTTGTATTTCAATAGAAATGTCAAATGAGCTATTGCTTTTTTTACATTAAATTGACATTTATTATAACCCTTACAGAATGGTGTTGTTTTTTTTTCTGAAAAATATTGGTGGGTGTTTTTGAAGAGAAATAGATAGAAATAAAAACTAATTCTGGTCCATTCAAAACTGTAATTTTTTTTAACACTTGAAGAGTTATGAGTTGGATAATAGGAAAAAAAGATAATATTCATAGGTTACCAAGTTAAGGTAAAGAGATATGTCTGCCATATTTTATTTTTCTTACTTAGAAACATATTTGGTATTTTCCATTGAAAACTTTAACACTGCAACAGAATATGTGTATCAAAACAACATTGCAAAGAACAATGAATATGCTTGTTTGTGACTGAGATATTCTGTTTTTTTTTTTTAATGATCAGAAGATGCCTTGGCATATTTTACAATTTTCCTTAATCAACTCCAGCATGGACATTGAACATTATTCAGATAACAAAACATTGGACATAAAAGAAATTTACAACTTGAAGGGCTAAGTTTCAAATATTGGGTATAGAAGTTTACTATACTCATATTGAATTATTAAAATAAGTGAATAATTGATAAGTTAAAAAGGAAGTTGTGAATAAATTGTTGGCTAAATTTTAGTTCAGGTAGGTGGATAGTTGTATTGGGTTATTTCAGGTAATTTGCAATAAGATCTTTTGTATAAACCACAACCATCGCACATTATGGTATCCTTAAGAATTGCATGCTGGGGAATTCCTCATGATATATTGCCAAATAATTGTCAGATTTTGTTCCCAAATTAAGTAACTGTTGATTGGCCCAGTAGGAGTTTTGAATATAGTGAGTCCTCTGACAAAGGTGGTAAAATGATAACGTGAGGGACGGCAATTTGTAGAGGCCCAAGATGACAAAAGCTAGGCTTGTAGCTACCGGTGTCTCTTACATTTGGTGTACAGTACATTATTGTATTGTCATAATGGGGAAATTTGAAGCATACATCACTGTGTCTAGGCATCAAACTGGGGGGTCCTATCATCATTAAGTTTTAGTATTCCCTGGTGGTTTCATTCTGTTGTTTTTGCAAGGCCCATTTTAGTTTTTCTGAAACAGTTTTAACTTGGAACTGGTGTGAACCAACCTCTGTGCTTGATCTGTATGCATTACAAGGTTAAAGTGTTGTTCTAGCATTGTGATACTCATTGTGATAATTATTTGTTTGATGAAAAAAACTCATCAGAATCATATGATAGATTGCTTTAATTTAATAGTGTTTGTTTTTGATATCTAATGTTGTAAAGTGGGCTCAGGAACATATAGCAGGTGCTCATTTGTGTCGTTCATTCAAGCTCTCTCTCTATATATATATACAAGGGGATTGGAAATTTAATGTTTTTTAATGCCTATACAGTGTGCATTCATCACTAAAATTGTAATACACTGTAGGTGAACATAGCTGCTACAATTCAATACACCATTCACTTCATATAGTGAAGTAGGGTATATTTATGTATTTTAGGGTAAATGGATATTTTAGCTTGGCTTGATTTGCCATCGGTTTTTTATTGTTTATTTGTTGTTGTTTGTTACAGTTTGACACAGACAGAGCACTCTTACTTACCAGTAATTACTCTGTCTTTTCAATGAACAAAAATGATCAAACTTTTATAATCATAAAAATATATTTCTGTATAGCATTTGTGGTGCTTTTACTACCTACAATATAACTATAGAGTAGCCTGCTTTTTAATTTTGTTGCTATTCCTCTATAGGAATAATCTAATTTTAAGCAACTTTTACTTAAAAGATGCAGTATTTGTAAAATTCACAATTTTTCCCTATTGAAAAGATTGAGTAAATACCGTACTCAGCAACATGTATTCTCTCTCACTCCTCACTCACAATTCCTCATAAAAATATCTACAGTGAATCCAGTGATCAACATATAGTTTACAAATGTCACCTTCTGCTACAAAGAGAAAAATGTGTGGGAATAAGATGCTGTGAAGCACATAGTGCAAATACTACTTGATTATTATTTCCATGTCCAAAAACAGATTGCATGTCAGGTGGAGCATGCACAGCATGTGTCCAGTGTGTCATTTCGTGATGGCAGGTCAGCTCGACCATGCTTCTTTGCATGCACACGTACATGCAAAGTCCTGTGACTGGTTTTGTACAAAGTTATTAATAGGTGTGACATCTGGAATAAAACTTGTCTTTACATGTGAATGTTCATGTTACATGTAGTCCATGTTATTCTTACAACCAGCAGAGAACTGTCTGTCGTCGTTGGTTCCTGGAGCAGCTGTGTAGGACATATGTCTTTACATGTGGGCTTCGGACAGATGTGGAATTTTGATACCTTTTACTTAACAAATAAACTTATTCTTAACAGGATCCCAAAATAAAAATAAAAATGATGAAAAAGAAAGAAAGAAAGATAGAAAGAAAGAAAAAGAAAATTGGGTGGCATCAAATATTTTATAATATATAGTAAAATACAGACCTTACTGCACATTATTGTATTAAAGTTGATATATTTTAGTGTTAACGTTATGAATAAAACCATTAAAAATCATTATATTTGAATTAACTTTCAAAGAAACCTTGCACCTTGACATTTGCTTGTAAATATGTTAACTATTAAGAATAAGATGGTGAACAATTGAATAGAATTATGCTACAAGTCATTTATGTATTATGTCTCTAATACATATTGAAATGGCACAACTGTCAGCCTAAACAAAACTACTGTTTGAAAAAAAAAATGATATCCAGCAGCCCAGAATTATTTTAAAAATGTGAGAACTTCAGCGAAATCATCACTGCTGGACAATGAATTAAAGATGGCAGTATCAAGTTACACACCTCGTTTTAGCTCAAACATGATTTATCACTGAAAATCATAATACAGTGCCCATTAGGTCAAAATTATCAAAGATCTGTTCTTTGTTGAAACTTTGAGATTTGATATAAGTTATTGATTTTTATGTGATATAAGGCATAATGTTTATGTTTTAAATTTAAAAGGATGACATATTTGTCTTTATTTTCTAGTTATCCAAAAGTGGATCATTCATGTTGTACCTGAACAAGCCAAAGTTAAAAGCGCAAGAGAGCAGTTCCAGCCAGCCCCTGAGGTGAGAGAAGACACCCCTGGACTAACATCTGTCCATTAACATGAACATTTTTACTGATTAACATGGATAATCACGGCTGTGTTGTTGACGCTTTTTGTACTTTTATAATATCTTGATCAGTAAAAACACACCAGTTGATATGTTCATGCATATTGTGGGTATTTCTAATTGCAGTTTGGGAAATATTAATATATATATTTATAAAGGGAATTTTTGAGTTTGTGTCTAAACGGTTGTTTTGTGTTGTTGTTTTGATGAGTACTATTTGTTTATGCATATTGTGGGTCTTTCTGATTGCAGTTTGGAAAATATTAATATAAATTTATAAAGGGAATTTTGAGTGTGTTTCTAAACGGTTGTTTTGTGTTGTTGTTTTGATTATTTTTACTATTGAGGGTCCTGGCATTGATTATGTGCCATGAGTGCTTTTGTGACACTCATTGGTATAGGGGACAATCTAGTGCTTTTTTTCTCACATGTAATGAAATTAT